TGAGTCTTCAGGTTTGTCAGAAATACTTGTGATTTTGGTCCATTGTTTAGCCTGGCATATTTGATAAGTTATAATTCTTTTAAAATATTCACGTGGTTTCTTGCATAAATGTGAGCGCATTGTGTGAAGGTCTTTTCGGCTTACCTGGAACCATGGCCTGGTTTGCCAGTTTCTCACAATAAACAACACTCTTAGGACATGGCTACTATTCTCCAGATGAAATGAATCTGAAGTTCAAATAGTCTGCAATATAATGAGACACGATGGTTCTAGAACTAACATTAACTGTACTATGTGTGATACTACCAAAACTAGTGCCAGCCACACTTCATTCATTGTCATCATGTAACTTAGATGTTCTTAATTATGAATCTGTGCGTGTACAGTAAGCCCTAAAAATAAAAGTAAGAAATCAACTAAATTCTGAAGTAAAAAAATACCTAAAATGAAATAGAGATACACCAAAATACATTAGTGTAAACTCACGTAGAATAAGACATCTGATCCGAACAACGGCTGACTGAAAACTGACACGGATGGCTTAATGAGGGTGAAGGATGGAGTGGTAAACATATTGTCACGTATTGGGTGTATAACGCGACAAATAAGTTCACGCCGTTCTTTGATATAGCGAGTTTATTCTTATCGCTCGCCTTACACACACTTTACAATCATCACACTTGCAGTGTTACAATCACTGCTCACAATATTCGGCGAGACACTGGACTCTCTTCTCCGAAGGCTGGCCCGAGACTCTCTTCTCCGGAGGCTTTATGACGGCTGGCTTCTTAGCTGGCTCGATGAAGACTTTCTTCTCCGAAGGCTATTCTGCGACTGACTTCTCCGAAGACTATTCCGAGACTGAAGGCTTCGTGTCGAAGCTGGGCTATTTATAACCTTGGCCGCTGATAGGTAACGAACCCTCTGTTATAACAGTGGAAACGCTGCATTGTTGGCTCCGCGTTTCCTACGCAATAACCCATTGTTATAACCATGGAGACTCCTGTTAGAACTACAATGGAGCAATTGTTGTCTCCTCTGTAACGGTCTATTGTAGCGTTTCCATAGAAGTTACTCCTCTGGTTTGCCGACACGTTACAATATGTTGGAGAGTTATTTTTGGATTGGGAACATTAGGGATGGAAGTTCTTGGAATTTTACTATAAAAAAAATAAACCTATCTCTGTAACAGGCCATGAAGGCCCATAGGGTTGTGAGATGTTGAGGGTCCCACATTATGTAGACAGTCAGCTCAAAGATGGCGGTAAGGTTGTCAGCCTTACGCGCCAGCTGCTCTTTACTCCCCAGGCAAATTATTTATTTAATTCCTGGTACTCATTTCTGCTAGAGGCTGCGTGAACCCGAGGGCCATAGTGTGGCCGGAAGGGAATTTTACTGTCATAACTTTTTTATTAAACTTAATTGTATAACACAGCAGTATAACACACGCAGTCACAGGAGCAAGACACAACACAAAGCACAGTACACACACGAAAATAGAAAGAATGCTCCGACAGAAGAGGATAGGTGTGACCCGCATAGTGAGATACGACATAGGGATGAAAAATCCTGAACAATTTTAATATTTTTAACATTTAATATTTATCAATATATATGATAAATATATATTTTAGTTATTTTAATATGAAGACGGCAAAGCATGCAGTGAACTAGTTTAACGTAAATCGAATAAGCACCTGAAGATGGCACTTTTGTGCCGAAACATATAGTGCGAGAGAGAGGAGTGAGATAAATGAGTGTATGCACTGGAAGACGGTTGAAATAAATCATGGACTTAAATCAGTGCAACAGGACGCTAAAATATAACATTACAAATTTAATTGTATTCATTGCTGGGGCATGCGATAGCATAGTTGATTGAGGGACTATGCTACAAGCCTGATGAGGCCATTGGATTTTCAAATGACGTAATCCTTCCAGCCGCACTAGGCCTCTGGGGCAACTCAGGCTCTAACAGAAATGAGTACCAGGAATCTTACTGGAGGGTAAAGGGTGGCCAGTGCATAAGGCTGACATTTTCACCATCTGTGAGCTAATTGTTTAGAAACTGTGGGAGCTTTGACATCTCACAACCCTGTGTGCCTCCATGGCCTGTTTTACCATTTTCTTTACCTTGCTTTCATTCCTATCGGCCTTTTATGACAAATGTACTAAAATTTGCTTCAATTTTTTTATTCCCCAGCTTTTTTCTTGCTTCTTTTCAACCTTCCCAAAATCTCCTGCAGCAAACCCGTGGACCCTTTGCATCATACCAGTGTGCCACTACACAGTGGTTGATAATCGCTGCCCTAGATGGTACAAGTGGTTGTTTTACTGCTCTGCATTGGTATGAGTGAAAAAACAACAAAACCTGAAATTTTTTAAGATGATAAAGTGAATAGAACTTATGAATTCCCATGAACCATGAATTGAAATTACGAATTTCTGTAAACTTTTGTGACATGGGCCAAATATTTTTATTTTTCATATACAAAAATAAACATTTTTATATAGCCTTGCAGTTGTTATTTCCAGATTGCTTAATCATCATATGTTATATATGTAAATGTTATTCCCTTGTATGAATGCTGCTTGTGTTTCCTAAATGTTATTTCTCTATATGACACAAACTCCGTCCTAAGTGCAACAATTTATTGTAGTTCTTTCTTGTTGCACTTAGGACAGAGTTTGTGTCATATATTGTGTAGAGTGTAAGAGGATGCTTAAATATAATATTGTTATTTCTCTGTTCTGAGAATTATCTGCATTCATTGTCAAACTTTGTCATAGGTGCAGTCACTGTTCCAGGTATTTTAGAATGCTTTTTATCTTGTTATCTATAATATTGTAATGACATTTTTGAAATGTTTTTCTAATAAGTTGTGATGTGGAACATCTAGTAATACCCCTGCTATTTACATGACTTTTATCACATTTAACTGTCAAAGTGCAGATCACTGCATGATGTCTCTCTTTAACATTCACATAGAATATTTATACAATAGTTCTGCCAACAATGCCACCACTTTATTCCTTAGAATTTTCACTTTTTACAACATGTTTCGGCCCCAAGTGGCCATCATCAGGTACTTCAATTAGCCAAAACTGTTACCTGCATTTAATATCGATCATACATTTCACGTGAAACTGCATTGTTCCATATCAATGTTGCAGTTATGATCCAGCTAACATTAGTCAATCCATGATACACTGTGACTCACTTTCTATTGCAATTAACTAAAATTCCATTAAAACTTTTAAAATTCCATTTATTTAATTTTACAATTTTAATTTTTATTCTTAAAATTTTGTACACTACCAACACATCTTTAGAGTGTCCTCCACTTTTCCAAATAGTGGGTTCAAGCCCCGATGAGGTAATTGGATGTTTTCAGTTGACCTAATCCCTCCAGCTGCACTATGGCCCTGGGGTTCACTCAGCCTCTAACAGAAATGAGTACCAGGAATTAATTAAATAATTTACCTGGGGAGTAAAGTGTGGCCAGCGTGTAAGGCTGACAACCTTACTGCCATCTTTGAGCCGATTGTCTAGAGAATTTGGGACCCTCAACGTCTCATAACCCTATGGGCCTTCACAGCCTGGTACAGGCATAGCTTTACTTTTTACTTTTTATGTATTTTGACCATCCTTGTTTTTGTTTTGGCGGCGTGTTGTTTCAGTTTGCAAGCCCATTGTTGCTGTTACATCTGCAATATATAAAACCCACGTATATTATTGTTTTTGTTTCTTATTACTACTGTTATGTTATGCTGTTTGTTTTTCTACTCACTTGCCCCTGTCTATATGTCATTCACTGCTCCAGCATATGGTGTTGCCCTCACTGTAGTAGGTGTTATGTGTGTGTAGAGTGCTTGCTTCTGTATTTAAATTTCAATTTAATTTTTAAAATGTTAATGATATTTTAGTTAATAGCAATAGAAAGTGTGTCACAGTGTATCGTGGATTGACTAATGTTAGCTGGATCATAACTGCAACATTAATATGCAGTGCAGTTTCACGTGAAATGTATGACCAATATTCAATGCAGGTAACAGTTTTGGTGAATTGAAGTACCCGATGATGGCTGCTTGGGGCCGAAACATGTTGTGAAGAGTGAAAATTTTAAGGAATGAAGTGGTTGCATTGTTGATGGAACTGTAGTATAAATATTCTATGTGAATGTTATAGAAACACAACAGGATGCTTAAATATAATATTATCTCTCTTTATGGGGGCACATGTCTTTGGGTACAATTGAGAGTTTTATGTGTAACATATGAAGTGTGCTTGTTATTAATGATTGCAAAAGGAAATGAGTTGTTGAATATAGAGTAACATTAAAATCTTAAGAACCTAAGGGTTGTATCAGCCCACATTTCAGGGGTACAAAAAATTTGAATGATTACCAATTTTCAACATTATGATGGTTCTTAGTTTGAATCTCAGTCTGGAAACTTGATGTGCTGACTGAGATATTTTATACTTTACTCAGTCTCTGCAGGAAGATCTGGGATAGAATCAAGATAGGTGTAGGCTAGTTATATCTATGCTTTCCAATTTATTATTCACAGTTCTTATACCATACATGGCTACATAACCCAAGAATTTATCATTAAGAAGCACTTGGTGTAGTTTTTTTTACTGATGTTCATGTGGCAATAAGATTTAGGACTGAGTACAAGAGTGTACAGTGCCAAGTGCTGCTCAGCATTACACAGACCTCCACACCGGTATCTTCACTCATATCTACCTCTTAATATTGGTGCTGTAAGGAAACAGCTGTATGATAATACTGAATTCTGACTGTCAGTTGTGCACCATATTTTTTTTGACAATGGTTTAAATATCCAGATCTTCCCAGCATGTAACTAAGCTTATTTTAACTGATGAATGATATCTTATGTAGAATTCCAAAACTGTCAGGCCATTTTAAGACAAACATTTATTCATAGAACTGGTATAGTAAGTTTCTGTTGTTACACGCTTATTTTTGTTGCAGAGGAAACACCTGCCAGCCCAGTGGAGCAGGAGAAGGAAGGAGATAGTGACAGTGAAAATGGGGAATCACACACCATGGCAATAAATGAAGCATCCTCTCCCATGAGTACCAATGAAGATGACAAGATGTCTGTTCGACGCAGTGAATCACGAGCATCAAAATCTCCAAGTGGAACCAGATCACAATCACAGTCATCAACAGGAAAACAGTTGGGAGGATCTCGGTCACGTTCCAGGTCGGGGTCAAGATCGAAAGCAGCCTCTAGATCATGTTCTCAATCACCATCCAAAGAGTGTTCAAGATCTCGGTCAAGATCTCGTTCAAGGTCATTGGAAGGTTCAAACTCAAGATCTAGATCAAGGTCACATGCTGGTTCCAGATCAAGATCACGATCAAGATCTTGGTCTGATGTAGGTTCCAGATCACGATCAGGATCAAGATCCAAAGCTGCATCTACCTCAAGTTCGAGATCAGGATCAAGATATAAAGGTGGTTCAAGATCAGGATCAGAAGATAAACCTGCATGCAGCTCAAGATCCAGGACAAGCTTAAGAGATAAAGCTGCCTCTAGGTCAAAGTCTAGGTCAGGTTCACGAGAAAAAGTTGCTTTTAGATCTAGATCTAGATCAGAAGATAATGCCACTTCTTTATCAGGATCAAGAGCCAATTCTAGATCAAGATCTAGATCAGGATCAAAAGATAAGGGTGTTTCTAGGTCAAGATCTAGATCAGGGTCGAGAGATAATGCCACTTCTAGGTCAAGGTCTAGATCAGGATCAAGGTCTAAAGGTGGCTCAAGATCAAGGTCTGGTTCAAAATCAAAGGCTGGATCCAGTTCAAGATCTAGATCAAGATCAAGATCAAAAAGTGCATCTAGATCAAGATCTGGATCCCATGCACAATCCAGGTCAAGGTCAAGATCTGGATCAAGATCAAGGTCTGGTTCCCCAGTTGCAGAAGCAGGATCAAGTAGCCCAGTGATGAGAGATCATAAGAAGAATCATGTGGACGGTAAGTAAACTGAACATATATGTCAGTAGTAGTTGATATGATATTGTTAAGTAGCCACTGGTTGAAGGCAGGGCAGCTTTGTCTTACTGAGCAGTAGTTCATAAGCCATAATTTTGCAGTTCAAACATCTGTGTGTCTGGAAATTATTCTTAATTTCCTTGCAGCTTTTTCAGAAAAAATTGTAAGAACACCATGTAAGCTATCATGACAGGGTGAAAGATAGAATAAAGTGGTCTGAGACGGTCATGGCCACCACTGCCACCTACTATGATTGATTGATCTGCACTGCACTTACAATCTCCCCCTTTCCCCTTTTCCTCTCTTTTTACTCAGATTTGAAACTTTCTTCCCAGGTTTCGTGTGGTAAGAGTCTTGTAAACTGATGAGTTGTTGTGTTGTAGATTCTGATGATGAAGTAGAAGAACGGCGCTCTGTTGTAGACAGTGATAATGACTCAGAGCATGTGGGTGGCAACAAGCACAGCAGAGGTGAGTCATCATCAAACTGAGGCACTTTAACCCATTATGAATGTGTGCCTTTGAACAGCCAGCATACTCTTTCTGTGTCAGTTGAGTGGATTTTTAATTCTTGTATGATAGTGTCATAGTATATGAAGTTGATGTATTTCCAAATTTTTATTCATATATTGAATAACTTTTAACATCAGTACAGAGACTATAAGATGAGAAGGAATGTAGCAACACTGTGATGATAGCAGATGTTATGACTGGTGATAACCTGATAATTTTCCAATATGATGGTAAGTCATTTTAGTAGTCAACAGGCAGAATGCTTAGTACAGTAGTAGTTGAAAGTTCTGTTTGATTAGATTTTTGTCATAGGTCTGAATCCTATTTCTCTTGCAGTGAGGTATATGATTCAGCAGCACATTTTCATAACTAGGATATAGGCTGTGTGCCCAAGGAATTGGGCTCAATACCCAGCAGAAGCAAACAATTTTTCTTTTCCTCACAGAGCCCATACTGGCCTTGGAGCCTACCTAGCCTCCTACCCATCAGGTACAGGGGGCTTATTCCTGAATGGTAAAGTGGCCAGCATGTGAAGCTGATCACCCAAAGCTCTCTAATGCTGAGGTTAAGTATGTATGAAGCTCTACCTCCACTCCCGCATACACCATCATGGCATAGATCTCAATTAAGAACAGGGATAACTTTACTTTTGCTTTGCTTTACATAGGAAAGACGTATGAAAAGAGTGCACTCACTTGTAAATACCCCCCAGAGTTCTTACAAAGTCATGTATATCATAGCTTGTCAAAAACTGGTGAATAATGGATTCAGATTATGCCGAAAAAGAACATCCCCAGAGAAACATGGTAACTGAAGAAAACTGTAACTAGTACCAGAAGGCAGCAATAGCTTGGCTAGGAGACGAAGGAGAACAGCCAGCCTACACAAGTATTTAACATGTTAACATCTACAACCAAGTTAGCCTGTGGCCATCATTGATATCAGAATAATGGAATTCACAAATTATAACCTTTTGGAGTTGAAATTAATTATTTGAATAAGTAATAAGACTACAAAGAAGCTAGAGGAAGTTTCTATATACACAGTAAAGTAAAACGTTTCCCCTATTCTTAATTAATTTAGCACCATGCCAAGAATACGTTGGGGAGTGGAGTTATAGCTTCTCATATTCTCAAGCTCAGCTCTAGACGGAGGTGAATGGTCAGCTTCATGACCCAGTCACATCATGCTCAATGATAAAGTCCATGATATCCACTGGATAGGAGGCTTGGTTGGCCTCAGAGCTGGTCTGGACTTTGTGGAGAAGGGATGAATCTATTGCATCTACCAGGAATTGAACCATGATTTATTAGCAAATCATTGCTACACTGACTATCCTAGCTCCTTGGTGCACACAGTTCAGAAGCATTAGCACTAGATTTTGGCAGAGAGTAATGGATTACATTGTTTTATGATGATCATCATGATGGTGGTGGTGGTGGTGGTGGTGGTGATGATGATGTGTAATTTGATAAGTGTCTTTAGGTAATAAATTTAGTTATATCAGGTTTAAAGTGTATACTGAGAAATTTAAGTTCACATTCATTCAAAAAGTTAGTTTAGATGGTATGTGTTTATAAAGATCACACTTGTAAGAATAAGGGGATGTCAAGGATGCCATGTTGAGTCATGCTAGTAGTATTATGGGCCCAGCAGCATAAAGAATAAAGAATTGTTTTGGAATGTCATATGTTGTGTTAATTAAGTATGAGAAGTGGCATTTATGGCAGTCTTAATTGATTTCTAGTCCATAAGACCCTTCCTGACAAGCTAATTTTGCCTTTGAAAGTCAGGTTGTAGTCACAAGAACATTCACTGGACAGCTCTGATACTCTGAGTGGTAGATGAAGCTGTTATGAATCCAAAGCATACATTAAGGAATGGTCACAACATAATAGGAACAGCAATTACTTACAGGGTTGGATGAAGTAAGGCTTTATTGATTACTTCCAAGAGTCATGGACAGATAGCTTCTGGAGGTATGGTTTGCATAGCTTCCTTAGGGAACAGACCTCAATATGGGAATGGAGGGTCCTTCTTGACAGTTCACGTAATGGATAGTTGTGCTTTGAGAGACTGTTTGCTGTGTGACCACAGTGAATAACATTGCAGTATTATTCACTGCGTGTGGTGGTCGTATAATTCACGACAAGTGTTGCCAAGCAGTGGAAGTTTGAGTACTGCATTATTAAAGCAGAATTCTAAGGCAAGCTTCACTGGTTCTAATCTTCAGCCATATTGCTAGCATTCTCTCCATGCTCACTGTTTGTAATTTGTTGCAAAGGTTAATTATGAACATTTAAAGGATTAGAAGACTGACCAGTGCTTTTAACTTTATAAACACCATTCAAAATTGTAGACCCAGGAAAACAAAAATGCCTACCAATATCCATTTGATACTCATCAGTATCAGGTTCATGAATATCATGATGGAGCTTCTGAATTTTTTAGCTGCTTTGCTACCATTTTCACATGACTTTCTTGATGTAGGCACAGTGGCTATATTTGTATTTGACTCAGTGAAAGTGGCAGTAGATGACGGCTAAAAACATTTTGAAAATGTGTGTAGTGCATTAGTGGGTCCTGATTCTCCTAGACAGATGTAAACAAACTTTGGACAGATGTGGGTGTGCTTCTGTATTTCACATAATGAAAATTAAATTATTAATTTCATTGTTGTTAAAGTCACTTCTTTCATAATATGTGGTCTTCTTACAGTTTAAAACTAAATCATGTTACAGTTGTTATATGTTGTGAAATTAAAATGTGTTTAGATTCCTGTGGAAATTACTTCTTACTCCATGGCTTTTTTGTCCTAAAGGGACCTTGGCCTCTTTTTATGCCATATGCCCATTCTTTGTTATTTTCCTTCTGCCTCCATCTCTTCACCTTCACCTCCAATAAATTGTCTGCAAGCTGTCTCATTCTGGGCCTTCAAACTTTTATCTACTTTCTGCCTTATTTAAAAAAACGACTAAGCTAACCTTGTTTGATGTGTTTAGATCACATTAAGGCTGGGGCCACACGAGCGCACAAAATGCATCTGTTGTAACGAACGTTGTGACGTCCATTGTAAAAATAAACAAGAGAGGTGAATGCTACACTTTCTTCTGGCTCCATTGCAGACAAAGAACTACACACTGCATTTTGCAACTCCGTGGTGTCCTCAGCAGTGTCCGTCATAAAGTATGTTCGTTGCAACGGATGTACTTCATGTGCTCATGTGGCCGCAGCCTTAAGGTCTGACAGTAAAGTTCGTGGACTCGTCACCGTGTGCTTGACATGGCAGCAGTTGACAGAAACCTCAGTATTGTTTGATGATGTTATATCAGCATTTCACAGCTGTGTTGTTGATCTATGGTAGTCTCTTCCTGAGTTGGGGCATCTATTGTCTGAGTGTGTTTCGGTGTTCTGTTGCGAGGATGTCGGAGCATGAATTAGAGCAATGAATGAACATTAAATTTCTTGTTAAACATGACAAGAGTGGAAGCAAAATCACAGAGGTGTTAGTGCAAGTAAATGGGGATAATGCTATGAAGAAAACAGCAGTTTACAAGTGAGTGACATGTTCTTCTGAGGGAAGAGAAAGTGTTATGGATGAAGAGAGATCAGGATGGCCAACATTGAGCAGAACTGAAGAAAACACTATAAATTTTGTTGAATTATGCGTGAAAATCGTCAGCTGACTGTCAGGAGTGTAGCACAGCAAATGAACATCAGCAGGGAAACAGAAAAATCTTAACTGAAGATCTTGACATGAGGAAGGTGTGTGCAAAAATGGTCCCAAAGGAGCTCACTGAAGAACAAAAGCAAAGAAGATTCAAAATTTGCCAAGACCTTTTGGGGAAACAAGATGACATTTTGGGCCATGTCATCACAGGTGATGAAAAATGGATTTACCAATACAGCCCTGAAACAAAGTGGCAAAGTGCACAATGGAAGACTGCCAGTTCTCCATGACCAAAATGTTCCATCAGTCGAAATCAAGAGTCAAAATAATGTTGCTAACTTTTTTTGATATTAGAGAGATTGTTCATTATGAGTTTGTACCAGCTGGGTAAACAGTCAGCTAAGTTTACTGAAAAGGTTGCATGAAAAAGTCAGAAGGATACGGCCTGAACTTTTTGCCAACAACTTGTGGATTCTGCATCATGATAATGCACCTGCTCACATGGCACTATTTTTGAGGGAGCTTTTAGCTAGTAAACAGATAACTGTGCTGGAACACCCTTCCTATTCACCGGATCTAGCCCCAGTGACTTTTTTCTGTTCCCAAAGTTAAAGGAAATGTTGAAAGGAAGGCATTTTAATGACACTGATGACATCAGGAGTAATACAACGGCAGCTCTGAAGGCCATTCCACGAAACCAGTTCCAAAATTGTTTTGAAGGGCGGCCTAGGCACTGTCATTGGTATATAGCTTCCCAAGGGGATCGCTTTGAAGGTGCTACAGTGATATTCAGCAATGAGGTATTAGCACTTTTACAGAGGTGAGTTCAAGAACTTTATTGTCAGACTTTATTGTGAACTCCAGCCTTATCCTGTTAATATATCCTGCCACATCAAGGGTTTTTTATAATTCCCTCATTTTTTGATTAGTTCTGATTCTTGAAACGCCTTTCTCAGTTACAGGTTGACACACCTACCTCAGAATAAGTACAACTTAAACACTAAAAGTGATCATCAAATTATTAAAATGTCTTTAGTTTTACATATGATTCATCTCACTTTACAACATGTTTCGGTGACACATGGGCCATCATCAGGTAATTTCCTTTTGTTTTCAAGGAGACCACTGCACTGTTCACTTGTCTGTTGTTATTGTTTAGTTTTTATCTCACGACTAGAACGCTGTCATTGTACTCTTTTTTGACCCTCTATCTTCATGATTTTTTCATTTTGTCCTCATATATCAAATGTTACAATTCTGTGTACTTACATTTTTGTGTGTCATGTTTCTCTTGTATAAGTGTTACTAGTGCATAAGTACACAGACTTGTAACATTTGATGTATGAGGACAACATGATAAAAATCATAAAGTTATTTATACTAATCATACTAATACACATTATGCATTGCAGTACGATGGCTGCAAGAGAGTACAATAACAGCATTCTAGTCGTGAGATAAAAACTAAAGAATAACGACAGACAAGTGAACAGTGCAGTGGTCTCCTCGAAAACAAAAGGAAATTACCTGATGATGGCCCATGTGTCGCCGAAACATGTTGTAAAGTGAGATGAAACATATGTAAAACTAGAGACAGTTCAGTAATTTGATGATCACTTTATGTCGTTTTGTAATTGAAACATCGTAAAGTATTAAAGTGTCACTTTTAGTGAGAAACATATTTTAGATGTCTTTTATATTTAAAAAAAATATATATTGTTGCATTATTGATGGGTGCTTTGATAATCAGGATATATTAACTTGCACAGATGACACTACCAGTGGCTCTAGTGTAGAGTCAACACTGTAGCAATTTGATCTTGCTTTCCTGTGGTTATCACAAAGTAATTACAGCATTCTGTTTGTAGTACAGCTGTTAATAGGTCTGACAGTAAGCACTGGATGTTAGGACTACTCTTGAAATTGAAGTATTAGTGTGTATAGGAAGTAGTGTTATGATTGATGGTATGAAGAAAAAAGTGTGATTCAAATTTTGGACTTTTGCTATATAATGTGATTTTCTAGATGGTGAGAAAGTGGAAGATGATAAGGATGATGCAGAGAAGGACAATGATGAAGATAATGTCAAGTCAAGTGCCCATAAGAAGTCTCAGCTGTCAGATTCTGAGGAGGAAGGGGAGGAGGAGGATGAGAAGATAAGACCTTCTTTGTCAGACAGTGAAGGAGATGAGGCACAGAGCAAGAAGAGAAACAAGCAGTCACATGTGTTGTCAGACTCTGAAAGTGACAGGGAAGGAAATGATGTTAGCGGAAAAGTGAGTACTGGTCCCTTACTTTAAAATGAATAGCGTCTGAACATGAAACTGAAGTTGTTGACACGCTTGTATTACAGAATAAGAAAGTGAGGATCACGTCTGACTCTGAAGATGAGGTTAGCGCACATGGTGGAGAGAAGAAGAGTGGGGATGAAGCAGAGGATGCTAAGCCTCAGGAAGAGGCACATCAACAGGGGGCAGCAGAGGTGGAAAGTCAGTCTGAAGGGGGTGTGGTGGTCCCAGAGGTGTCTGACAGCGACTCTGAGTCTGAGATAAACAAGGACAGAGTGTGAGTACTCTGTGTGTATGTGTGTGTGTCTGTTGCAGGGCCCTCCATCTGTTTTATTGTATGTTAAGAAAATTAATTTCATTCCTCTGCTTTGTATGCATGTGATGGATCATGTGGGATACCATAGCAAGTTTTGTTAACCCATGTTACGTGGGTCCCATGTCAGCATAGCATGGCACGTCCACCATACATTGTTACAGTGTGCACATTTCACTGTGATCCACTCTCATCTATTCTAACCTCTTGAGGGATACTTTGAGATCAGACCTTCACTGAATATGCATGCTGTGAATTTTAAAATTTCTGGAAATACCAAATTACCAGACTTGATGAAATTAGAGTGTTCAGTTAGTGGTGATATTGTTTTAGATGTATGCCATGAACCTTATTTTGGCAAAGGGAGACTTTCATTTCTTCTCTTATGCAATGGAGTGACCTAAAGGATCAGTTAATGCTATCTATACCAAACTCCCCTTGTAAATAGCTGGAAAAGAAACCATAATACACGTATTGACATTCGTCCATGGAAGCACTGTCACCATGTTGATTATACAGTGTGTCCACAAAGTCCCTTTGGGGTTTTGAGAAATTATGGCACGCAAACAAATTGAGCTAGTCACATGCGGTTTGCGGCAGATCATAGCGAAACTCTGGAAGTTTTTTACTGACCTCAGTAGACCTCGATGTGTGCTCCCTTGGTAGCATGGAGAACGTCCAACAATATTCGAGCTCTTGCCATGTTCTGTGGAGCATGTCCGCTGGAATAGCCAAGATCACATTCCTGATATGGGTCTTCAGGTCATCAAGTCTCTTGACTGGTGTTCGGAACACACTCATTGATGTGCTGTAGTTTGTTGAGAGGGAAAAATATGAGTTAGACTTTGACTTTGACTTTGACTTGATCTAAGTTTGATTAGAGAGGAGCTCAGGGAGTGTATGTAGCATGTCCACAAAGTAAGTTTCCCACTTGTCCCACAGCTAGCAGACTTTATATTGCGCGAAGGGACTGCATGTACGTGATAGAGCAATGACGTAGCATGGCGAGTGCACTAACGGAATTTCCCACGTTCCCACGGTAGCATCGTTACAGCTGTTGAAGATGGAGGCTCTTATTCCAGCTCCTGCTGACTGTGAAGTGCGGTCAGTGATAAAGTTTTTGAATGCACAGAGCATAGTGCCGATCGAAATTCATCGTCAGCTGTGCTGGGTCTATGGGTCTAACGTCATGAGCAAGCAGATGGTGCGTCACTGTTGCAGACAATTTTCAGCAGGTTGACAGAGTGTGCATGATGAGAAGTGCGGTGGGCAGCCATCCGTTGTTACAGACGACCTGGTGCAGCTTGTGCGGGAACCCATTATGGAGAATCGTTGTGTCACAATTACGGAACTCAGCAGTCATGTCCCGCAGATTTCCCGCTCCTTGTTGCACGAAATTGTCACGGAGCACCTGTTGTTCAGGAAATTGTGTGCCAGGTGGGTGCCGAAGCAACTGACACCAGAACACAAAACAAAGTGCGTGGAATCAGCATTGACATTTCTGCAGTGGTACCATGATGACGGCGATGAGTTTCTGGACCGGATCATCACAGGTGATGTGCACAGTATTCTTGGACAGACGGGGCGTTCTCCACGTTGACTTCCTGACCAGAAGTGAGACGGTGAATGCTGAGCGTTACCTCGCTCCCAGTGATTTCCATCTTTTCCTACACCTCAAGAAATTCCTGTCCGGTGAGCATCAGCATTTTGAGAATGAGAGCGAGGCGGAGATGGTTGTCACACAGTGGTTCCAATCCCAGGCGGCAGACTTCTACGACACAAGTATTCAAAAGTTGGTCCCACGGTATGACAAATGTCTCAATCCTGGTGGCGATTATGTTGAAAAATAGCTGCACACTTGTTGTATCTGTTGCAATAAATATTTCCATGAAATTGTGTTTTGTTTCTGTAAACAGCCCCAGGGAAACTTACTTTGTGGACGAGCCTCGTAAGTCGAGGGATTCAGCTGTCAACATGTGTGGACATTGGATTGATCTCTTTGATTGGTAGCTCGCGGTTGTATGTTGAAGTGACAGGAATTAAGTTCACGTGAACATTCATCTTTCAGAGCAGTGAGTGGGGAACTTAGTGTGTGATATTTGGAGAGTGCTTATCAAGGAGAGTGAGTGTGAAGAGTTGATGTACTTTAATCTGTGAATGTGAATTGAAGAGATCGATCAAATTTGAAGTATTTAATTGTCAATAGTGGTCTCTTCTAAAACTGACTGAAGTGAGTGAACACATGACAAGAACAGTGGTGCCAAATATGGCTGCCATCCCAGTGCCGGGATATCAGTCATTTTGGACCGAAAACCACCAGATGCTAAAATCGGAGTACCAGCAGTTGGTGGGTCAATTCCCTGAAGCAGACACACAACTGAAACAGCTATTTAAAGTGCTCTGCGACATCGAGAATGTCACATGGTACACTTCAGCTTTGGTGGGTGACAGTGAGCAATGGTCATCCATTGTCACCGCGGCTGAGGAAACTATGCAGAACCTCTGCAAAGACCTCATTGGGAAGACCCTGTATAGTGCCCTGTATGACACACAGACGCCTTGCAGGACCTAAAGGCAATGCTGAAGGCAAGTGTCAGATCTGGCCTCCACCCAGGAGGATGGCTTCAAAGAAGTATGATGGCAAAAGTGGCACAGTACCAACGAGGCTGCCCCAACCTTGAAGAAAGCAGTGCCAGCTGCTGAAATAACACCCCATAAACAGGTTGCCGCCTGCAACTTCTTCGCCCCCCCTAAAGACATCCATGGAGACGGACATCACCAGTTCAGAGGCCGCTACCCCTGAGGAGACAGAGTCTGGCAGAACAGGTAGGCCGCCTCCAATGAAGCAACTGATGAACATGGTCAAGGGCGACTTCGAGTTTCCTAACACAAGGAATGGAACAAGAGTCCTCGTGAAAGGCATGGCGGATTTTGAAGCCATCAAAGAGCATTTCAGTAACAGTAGCCTAGCTTACTACTCCTTTTTCCCAAAATCACTGAAGACCATTAAGGTAGTAATCTGACACCTCCCTATAAATACCCTTGCCCAGGATATTTCAGAAGGTCTGGAAAACCTGGTCTTCGATGTTGTTACTGTCAGACAAATGATGACAGCCCGCCGTTCTCTTTCTGAAGAAGCCACAACCAGGAACCTTCCGTTGTTCCTCATAACCTTGCCGCAGACAGCAAAATCACAAGAGATCTTCAATCTGCCAAGAATTTGCCACATATCCATCAAGGTAGAGGCTTATAGGACCCAGACTGGACTTACTCAGTGGCATAACTGTCAGCAGTTTGGCCATGTCTGGGCTAACTGTAAACAACCTCCACATTGTTTGTGGTGTGGAGGTGGCCACCTACATAAGGAGTGACCAGAAAAGGGAAACGCTTCCTCCACTCCAACATGCTGCAACTGCCGGTTGGCGGAGGGAGACAAACTGCATCTCACCAATTATGGGGGTTGTAAACATGCCAAGGAGGAGCAGCAGAAAAGGAAGGCGCAGAGAGCAGCCAGAACTACCACAGGGAGGTTGTTCTCTTCAAACATTGTCACCCCAGGTGTCTCCTTCGCAGCGGCACTCCGAGGAAACACAGAACAGCAGCAACAGCACCCTCTGGAAAACCATGTTCCGGCGGCTTGTGCACCCACAAGGAAGGGGATTGTACCTGCCTCTGCACTGCAGAACGAAACAGGTCAGTCAGTTCAGGCTCCTTATGTAAACAGCCAACCTCTCTACAATATGTTGAGAGTAGTGACTGTAGTACAGCAGATTATGACATAGGTCAGTGGTGCAGTGTCTGAGGAGGACAAAATAGTGACTATTATAAACAGTACTATATCTCATGAAACAAAATTGCCACTAGAGTTCATAGGTCCCTCAAAGTCACAGCATTTAATGCAAACGGCATTGGGAGGCAGCGCTATGAGCTCAGTAAACAGCTGCAAGATTTACACATAGATGTGGCCCTGTTTTCAGAGACACATCTGAAACCTCATGAGAGGTTCTTTATTCCAAATTACCACTTTTGTATAATCGACCGCCACTCGGGCAGAAAAGGCAGAACTGCCATTGCAGTTAGAAAAGGCATTCCCCATAATCATGTAGACCTACCACCCCTTGTTTCAGTAGAAGTGACAGGGGTCTGCATACCAATTGGCTGTAAAGAAGAACTGCTTGCAGCTGTTTATAAATCTCCAGGCAGAGCCTGGAGTGATGCTGACATCACTGAGCTCTTAAGCTTTAGACGTAAGTCTGTTTTGGCAGGTGATTTGAATGCTAAACACCCATTTAAACAGCAGAGTTTCAAACCCCTCGGGCGAGAAACTCGTGGATTTATTTGATATGAGTGAATTCGTAATTTCAGCACCACAGTGCCCCACTCATTATTCCCCTGTGGGAAATGATGACGTGCTGGGCATTGTGGTTCACTAAAATATCAGAGTGTCAGATGTTATTGTCTCTGATATTTTGGATTCATATCACCTACCAGTAGTATTCCACTTACTGGAGCATGTTAAAATTAGGAATCTTTCAGACCCTATCGAATAATTTACATATTTGAAGCAGTTTCAAAGCCTCGCTTCTGAATTAATATCACCTAAACTAGAAATTAAGTTGGGGGTAGAAGCCAATAAAACGGCATATGACTTTGCAGCCTCTATTGCTTCAGCATATAGGTTGTCAATGAGTAAAGTTACACTTTCGGACATAAACAATGATCTTCTTGGTTTAGATTGTTTGATAAAATATAAGCAAAGGCTACGAAAATTGTGGCAAGAAACCAGGGATCCAGCATGTAAAACGGCAGTCAATTGGGTCACCAACTCAATCTGGCGAATGACCTGTAAAAAGGCACTTGAACGGTGGGAAACAAAAATAAGTAACGCTGAAGTCACACCTCAGAGTGTATGGCCCATTGTGAAATCTGCTTAAGAGAAATGGACCAAGGCCACCAACTACTATTCATGGTTCTTCTGGCCTTAAATTTTATCCTTCTGAAAATGCCAACGAAATTGCCGACTGTTTGGAAATGCAGTTCACGCCACACGACCTGTGTGACGAAAACCGTAAAAGAGGGTGGAGGCTAGTGTTCAAGCTCTGCTGGAAACCGTAGACAACAACCCCCCTCAAAGGATTAGACCATGTGACGTTCAGAAATTAATAACATTCCTGAAATTAAAAAAGGCCTGTGAAATTGACGGCATCCCAAATGAATGCCTCAGGCACCTTCCAAGGCAACCATTGGTTCACCTAACCCATTTATTACATCATTGTTTTCGGTTTTTTTCATTTTCCAAATACTTGGAAGGAAGCAAAAGTAACAACTTTTCTAAACCCAGTAAAGACCCGAAATTTCCTCAAAATTTACGTCCGATCAGCCTCCTGTCCACGACAGGAAAACTATTTGAAAAAGTTATTTTGAATTCCTCCAAAAACATATTGAAGAAAAAGGCCTGCTCAATGCAAGCCAGTTTGGGTTTTGTGCATGTCACAGGACGACATTGCCCTGTATTAGGCTGGCGGACCACATGACCCTTAATTTCAACAGTGAAATGTCTATGGCTGTGGTGTTCTTGGACATCGAAAAAGCCTTTGATACCACATGGCACTCAGGATTACTGTATAAGTTATCAAAATTGTAATTCTCGAACAGTTTGACCAAAATTATTGGGGCCTTTCTTTCTAAAAGTAAATTCACTGTCTCGGTTGAAGGCGAAATGTCAACACCAAGGGAAATGCAAGCAGGGGTGGCACAAGGTTCAGTCCTTTCCCCTACTCTTTTCAGTTTGTACATAAATGTTGCCCCCCAAACATATGGTGTTCACCTGGCCCTCTTTGCAGACAGCATGTCTATATGTGACGGATTGCAAGGAGGGTTTTATTGTTAGAAAACTCCAGTGCAGACTCAGCTCAATGGAGACCTGGCGTGAGCGCTGGAATATAAAAATTAATGAAGATAAGACTCAGAGGGTCTACTTCTCGTGGTTGTCGACTGCCGGTGTCTTGTCTTAGAGTATATTCCCTATTCAAAAGTGAGTGATTGAGCGCTAACATTAAAAAGCTCTTATTAGATCCGTAATGAGTTATGCTAGTCCCGCCTAGGAGGTTGCGGCAGACACCCATCTAGTGAAATTGCAGTGCCTGCAAAACAAGGTTCTCCACACCATTGGCAATTTTCGAAGGTGCACACCGGTCAGTGATTTGCACATGGCATTCAAAATCCCATACGTATATGACTATATAACAAAATTATCCAGGCAACAAGCAGAAGTCATACAAAATCATGATAATGGGAATGTTCACAACATTGGACAATGTGAAGCCCAACACAGAAAGTATAAGAGGCTTAAACATGGTGGTGATCAGGCATACAACCGCTCAAGTCACTAGACTGCCATGGTAGCAAATACTACTAGAAATAGGGCATAGTCTGATGTACTGAGCCTAGACTTACAGAGGCCTTGTGTATATTATACATACTAGATATTAAGATTCAACTTTAAATAAGTAGACTAATACTGTCAACTATGACTGGCAAATAACAGACCCAACCTCTTGTCAGAGAGGGCGCCCCACATGGACAGGACAGTAACTTTGACTTAAAAAGTAACATCTGGTCCCGGGGCTTGACACAAGACAGACAGACTGACTGAATGTCAGTTGCAGCATGACTTTGACTTGACGGAACACACTGCTCTTGACATAACCCCACAGGAAAAGATCTAGTGGTGTTATGTCTGGTGAACGTGGAGGCCAAGGCATTGGACCCTCTCTGCCGAGCCATCTTCCTGGAAGTGTCCTGTCTAGGAACGCGCCTACCTGCAGACTCCAATGAGGTGGAGCACCATCTTGTTGCAGAATGATGTGTGCCTGTAAGTGCTCAATTTGTGGTACTGCACACAGTTGCGGCATGTCCAGGTAGGTGTTCAAGGTGTTCATGTTGATCATCTGCTCTTGAAAAAAAAAAGGTCCAATAACCTGGTCATGCATTACACCACACCACACATTCACTTTTGGACTATCATATATGTGCTCCCTAGCAACATGTGGCTTTTCAGTGCCCCATGTACACACATTATGCCTGTGAACTTGACCCAAAACATGAAGTGTTGCCTCAACTGTGAACATGATTTTTTCAAGAAGTCCACATCAAGGTCAATGCAGTCAAGCATTTCTTCTGCAAAATGTTGATGTGCCATGCCATCAGCAAGTTTGAACTGTTGCATGAACTGAACTTGTATGCACACAACCTCAACCTCTTACATGGCACTTTGTATATCATTGCATATGGGAGTAACAATTCATGCGAAGCTCAATGAGTGGATTGCCAGTCTTTTATTGCTTTGTCACTCGGAGGTTGCTTATTGAACTGTGTGTGGTAATTTTGTTGAGTCTGAGTGAGTGATTTTGTTTCAAAAAGCTATCCTACACAATGTGTCTGTTCCTGCATAGTCGCCATTTCACGAACTACTGACTGAGAAACATAAAGATGGCCATTTATGCCATGTGTTGGCGGCAAAAGAAAACTTCCACAGTTTCACAATGATCTGCCGTGAACCGCATTTGGCTAGCTCAATTTGTTTGTGCACCAAAATTTTTCAAAACCCCAAAGGGACTTTGCGGACACACTGTATATTGACATATGACTGGAAAGTGTTAAACCACACCCTGTACCTCTCCTCTACTTTGAAGAGGGAGGTCTGTGTTCCAGAATACAAGAAATGTATGTATATATAGAGAATTTATTTCACTCTTAGGCAGAAGTACTCAGCAAACCTATGTAAAACCATTATAATTCATGATTGGCAATTCTTTACTTTCTCAATTCAGGTATTGCTAAAGATGTCAAGAATGTTGAATTATTCTTTATTACTTCATATAACTTCAGGAATGTTTGTATGCCGTAACACTTCTGGCATGTTTACTGTGTTATTGCCTGTAGACAGCATAAAATTAATTTTGTTTAATTACCTCAAAAACCATATGACTCACAGGAGAAGCAGAGTGGATATAAAATGTGTTTAATTTCTAACTACAAGTTTTGTATAAGCAAATTTTATTCCGATAAATATTGAGCAAATTTTATGTGAGGTGCATGCATAATCATTGTCTTAAACCTGCACAGTGTTCACATTTGACTTAAAACTGAAACAGATAACAGCATGAAATCTTTTTGCTTGATTCAGGACTGGTTACATGACTTTCTCTTTGGCACTGTTCCACCATACCAAGTAGCTTTGGAAGGTACTAATGTTTAATGTTAATCGTATTATCACATACCCAACTGAAGTTTCTGTAGGTGTCAAGTTTCAAGTGAATGCTAGGATAGTACCAATAAATACCCTAATTAAATGTAAGATTGCTCTTCCTGCTTTTGTCATTGCTCAAGAGTCTGTTTTGTATCATTCATAATTATGTTCAAATATATTTATATGATGCAGGGGGTTTGATCAGGTGTCTGACTTTGAAATCATGCTGATGAAAAAGAAGGAAATGTCAAAGAAGCGGAAACGGAAAGCTGACATAGATATTATCAATGATAATGATGACATCATTGATCAGCTTCTGGCAGACATGAGGCATGCAGCTGAGGTGAGTAATTGTGTGGGACTTTGTTGCAGATCATTTGAGAATATTCACTTTTATTAAAGTAATTTTTACAAAAGTCAGAATATAAATTAATCATTGTGGAATTTTTATTTTGTGTAAGCTGCTCTTTGATCTTGTGGTGATGTTACTCATGTCCTGTGAGGCTCTGCAGCATTCCCTGCACAACTACTGAAAATACTGAACCTGCTCAGTTTTTCATGGATGATGTGTCTTTTGTGTGTATTGTTATAATGAATGGTGTTTTGTAATGCAGGAGGATCGGCGACTGAATCAGCTGCAAAAGCCTGCAACAAACAAGATTGCTATGCTGCCAAAAGTAATGTCCCAACTTAAGAAGCATGACCTGCAGCTTGCTTTCCTCGAACACAATGTGTTGAGTGTACTGACTGACTGGCTTGCCCCAATGCCTGACCGCAGTATGCCTAGCCTCAAGATCCGGGACAACATCCTGAAACTGCTGTGGGAGGTAAGATTTCATATATATATATATAAGCGATGGTGAGTAACAATCATTAATTAGGAATGATGGTGTCTTCTTACAGAGTTTTCTCTCTGTTATCTCCCAATTGTACAGTTTCTGTTATTTAAAGTTTTTCAGGAAGATCAGCACTTAACTAAATGTAAAGTTTATATTTGGGAAATGAAGAAAGGTATTTCTCTGTACTGTAGACTGTTGATTATCCGCATGCAGATGATCAGTTTTGCAGCTTAACTGCAGGGCTTTCAGAATCCCTTATTTAAACCTTTCAATGTTGAATAAATAAAACCTAACATTAACCCCCTGTGCTGAATTAATTTTGTAATGATTGTTGAATTGAATTGAATTTATTTACATTCTATAAATCCTAAGCAGGTTAGTACCTTTGGATACAGAACAAGTCAAAAGGTTACATACGTAAGTACAGGCAATTTTAGCTTAAAAATTAATATAACTTAATTTTACATCATTCTCTATTTACATTGAAGTATTCATCTAAAGAGTAGAAGGAATGAGCATGTAGATAATTCTTTAACTCTGATTTAAACTTTTTAGTATCATTGCCCAAGTTTTTAATACTTTGTGGCAGATTGTTGAACACTTTTATGCCAGTAAAGTAGACTCCTTTTTGATATACTGATAAAGTTGATGAGGGTAGGTGGAAGTTATATTTTTGTCTAGTATTCATGTTATAGACATCAGAATTTAATTTGAATTTATCTTTGTTGTAAACAACAAATAAGAGAAGCGATAATATGTATTGCGATTGAAGAGGTAGAATTTTTAATTTCTTAAATAATTCTCTACATGAATCTCTACTTCTACATCCTGTAATGATTCTAATTATATTCTTTTGTATTTTAAAAATTATTACACTATGTGAAGAGTTCCCCCAAAATATTAATCCATAGTTCATAATAGAATGAAAGTAGGCATGGTAAACCATCTTCAATGTTTCCTGTGACATAAAAGGCTTAATTGATCTCATCGCATAGCAAGCTGCATTTAATTTAGGTATAATTTGTTCAATATGTATTTTCCAAGACAGTGTACTGTCTACATGTATTCCAAGGAATTTTGTATCAAGTACTTTACAGATTAATTTGTTGGCATAACTGATGTCCAGATCAATTTGGTGGTTGTTTTTAGTTGTGAATGATATGTAATGGGTTTTATCAAAATTTAATGAGAGTAAATTGGCTTCGAACCATCTGTTTAAGGCTTCAAATACAATATTTATGTCATTTTTAAAGTTTTCAAATTTAGAGTTCTTAAATATTATACTAGTGTCATCTGCATATAGAATTGGTTTAGATTTATTGTTGATGGTTTTAGATAGATCATTTATGTAGAGAAGAAAAAGTAAGGGACCTAAAATTGATCCTTGTGGAACACCGTGCTTTATAATTCCCCAGTTTGAAAATGCATTATGACTGGAGTTTTTATTATTTATTTCAACTCTTTGATACCTGTTTTTGAGGTATGATTTGATCCATTCATTAGCTTTGCCAGTTATTCCATAGAAATTTAATTTCGATAGTAAGATATCATGATTAACACAATCGAAAGCTTTTGCTAGATCACAGAAAATCCCTCCCACAATTAATCTGTCATTGAGAGCACTTAAAATATCGTTAGTTAGTTCATAGGTTGCTTTTTCTGTTGTTAGGTCTTTCCTAAATCCAAATTGCTCTTTGACTAATATGTTGTTAGAATTTAAGTGTTCAAGTAGTCTATTATACATAACTTTTTCAAAGACTTTTGAGAATGAAGTCAATATGGATATTGGTCTGTAATTAGAGATGCATTTTCTCTCTCCTTTTTTAAAAAGTGGTTTCATTACAGCGTATTTTAAGCGTTGAGGAAAAGTACCTGATGATAAAGATTTATTACATAGATGATTCAAGGGTGAACTGATGTAAACAGAGCTTGCTTTAAGTAATTTGGTAGAGATTTCATCATATCCATGTGAATTTTTGGGCTTAAGGGATTTAATAATGTTTTCAATTTCCTTCCTTGTTGAGAATTTGAGATTGATATTTGGAAATGAATTGTTAAAGGCACGAGACAGATAGTATATTGGATTATTATTATTATTATTATTATTATTATTATTATTATTATTATTATTGGAATATGTTTTCTCAGCTAATGAAAGGAAATATTCATTAAATGCACTTGCGATAGCTTGTGGATTGTTAGTGGACTTCCCTTCAATATTCAAACTTTGTACGTCTTCATTAACAGATTTCTTTCCTGATTCAACTTTCACAATATCCCAGGTGGTTTTAATTTTATTGTTTGATTTTAGAATTTGGCTGTTATAGTCTATCTGTTTGGCTTCTTTAATGACTTTTGACAAAATTTTACAGTACATTTTGTAGTGACTTTTTAGTCTTGGATCATTACTGTCCCTACTGGCCAAATATAGTTGTCTTTTGTGTTTACATGAAGTTTTTATTCCAATTGTTATCCAGGTGGATTTGTTTTTATTTTCATTTTTGACTATTTTTAAGGGAAAGCTTGAATAAAAGATCCTCAAGTATGTGTTCAGAAAGCAATTAAATTTAGAATCAATATTATTGCTGTCAAATACATTGTCCCACGATTCATTACTTAATTTTGTGACAAAATCTGCCATCGTATGCTTGTTGATTTTCCTTACTGTTTTATATTGTTGATTACTGGGCTGAAAGTCAATATTATTTATTTCTATGAGTTGAGCATCATGATCGGATAAGCCATTTATAAAGGGTCCTACAGTATAGTCTCTTAATTTTGAGTTATCAATGAATATATTATCTATCGCTGAACTAGAATTATTTTGAACTCTTGTGGGAAAGTTAACAGTACTGGAGAGATTGTAAGATGATAACAAAGAGTCTAAATTTAGTTTCCTATTACTGTCGATGAGATAGTTTATATTTATATCACCACAAATTATAAATTCAACTTTTGAACTATGCAGTACATTTAGGATGGTTTCTAATCTATTTAAAAAGTGATTGAAGTTTCCAGATGGGGCTCTATATAAAGTCAGTATACAAATATTTGAAAAAGGAGAGTCTAACTTTAGAGCACATGCTTCCAGATCCTGGTCTTTGCAATAATCTTCTAAATTTATTTTAGTAAATTTTAGGTTTTCGTGTAAAAAAATACTCACTCCTCCTTTCTCCAGTGTTTTCCTACAGTATCTAGCACCTAAATTATAATTTTCTAAGTGAAGATGTTCTAATTCCAGCTGTTTCATGTGATGTTCAGTAAGGCACAGTATGTGTGGAAGATTTGAATTCATGGAGCTTATTAGTTCATTTGTTTTGTTTCTCAATCCTCTTATATTCTGATGGAATATTCTTAGTACTTTATTATTCACTGAATTTAGTAGACTGCAATTACCTTTTCCGATTTCTATTGGTTCACTAACATTATTGTCTGAAAGATTAGTTTCTTTTGCAATTTCTTTTACTTGATAAACTTTACTTGCACTCTTTATCCTAAAAAATGATTCTGAACACCCATGACAACTGGAATGTGTCTGCCCTTAATGCTCTCTGCAATGAGTCGCGTCAGCTTGTCCTTGCCTCGAGGATTAAGATGCAAACCATGGACAGTATGTTCGCTCCTCAATATTGAAGAGACATCAATCGCATCAATGTGGGCCGCGCCGACCTCCACAAGCGAACGCTCAAGCCGAAGATTAATCTCCCTTACACACCTGTTAATCCATGGCTTGTCATGTCGCCAGAAAAGACCAACAAACCTCACATTGGTGTGACTAGTTTTCTGGGCAATGTCACTTAAATCTTTCTCAATTTGATAATTGAGGTTTCTCTCCAAACTGTTACCTGGCCCCCCAACTATAACTACCTGATCTTCCTTACTAAAACCTTTGCACAATTTTCCAATGTCCCCAGTGACATTGCTCAGATCAGCATTGGGCTTGAATATGCTGGTCACAGCATATGCATCTCCCATTGCTTTCTGTAGCCTCTGCCCGATACCCCTACCATGACTGCTACCCAGCACTAGAATCTTACGCTTAGGCTTAGCCTCTAACACAGGCTGATCTATAGCGTCACCATCAGTCTGAGGCCCTAGCATAGCTAGAGGTTCAAATCGATTGGTTAAAGCTAACTTAACATCTAGTGAAGAAGGAACTTTTTTAAGTTTTCTTCGGGAGTTGGACACAGTCCTAAATTCTTCAGGACAATTATCTACTAAATTTAATTCCCCTTTTAAGAGGTCAATCTCAGTTCTTGCAAGTTCCAGCTCCCTTTTCAAACTCAAGATAGTCTCCTCTTGTTTCTTTATTACCTTGGCTTGCACACAGGAGTTGCAGTACCAAGGTAATATGGCCAAATCACTATTGGTGCCAGAGCACTCCCAATGAAACCACAGGCCACAGTCCTCACATCCTGTCCCCTGGCTAACCTTCCTTCTGCAGGCCCCACATTTACCTGATAAGTCGTTACCCCTTGTGGTCATTATTACCACTTATGTTAACTTATAATTCAGTACTAACTAACAGATATATTTAAAGAGTCTAATTTGTGATTAGAACTTACAAGAGTATATGCTGGCACAAATCTTTTAAGGCCCACTATATACAATGATACACTTATTTTAGGTTAGGCCCACTGGTACACTTGCAATAGTACAAATCAACTTATTAAAGATATAAAATAACACACTTCTTGTAGGTTAGGCCTACTGTACACTTACGAAAATACAAACAACTTATGTAAGATATAAATAACACTTGTGAAAATACAAATCGACTTAAGATATAAAATAACACACTCCCTGTAGGTTAGGCCTACTGTATACTTACAAAAATATATGTATATGAAAATATTGGGAAATCAAGTATAAATTTGATCATTACATGCATTCTAAATGTTGAGGTTTATGTTAATCTAGATCTATATTTACCATCCCTCTGATGGCCAAGTTGAAGTAGGATATTCCTGCTGCTAGATAGTAATTTCTAAATTCCTTTGCAGGTGTCATGACAAATAAAGCAACAAGTCTGTCTTGTAGTTCATTATGTTTGCAATAGGTGGAAGTATATGCTTGGCAATTTTGAGTGCATTCAGAAAGTCTGGATGATACATGCTTATAAACATCACACCCGTAAGAATACGGACACAGCAAGGATGCCATGTTGAGGCATGCCTATATGGAGCGTCAGTAAATAGGTCACAAATGGATGTGAAATGTAAAACATGTGATATTCAAAACTGGAAAAATTGTTTATTTCTTGACATAATTCTCCATCAACATTGATGTACTTATCCCATCGCTTTACCTGTGCATCAGAACCCACAGCATAAAAGTCTTGACTTTGGTCTCAGCCACTTCCTCACCTCCGTTTCAACCTCTTTTTCACCAGCAAAGGTTTGCCACGTTTCTTGCCCATGTTGTGAACCACTTTATATGACGGGCACTTCCCACTGTAAACAGGAAATATTTCTTTATGAACCTTTGAGCTGAAGATCTCGTTTCAGGCCGGTATTGGAAGAACTTATACACCTGAAAATATGTGGTACTCAAACAAACTTCCAGCAATTCCATGATGGCTTCGACCTGCAAGACAGACTGTTCCACAAATATGTCATTGTTATGGAGCTCATTTCTTATGATTTGAAGGGCTTCATGGGACTGGTACATTAGTGAAAAGGCTAACAACATTAAAGCTAACAAAGGTGTCTAGAGATTGAAGGTTTACAGACTTCAAAAACTGTACAAAGTGGCCCAAAATCTTTATGAAGGATTCTGATTTCCCTGCAAGAGGACTCAATATCTTATGGAGAAAACCAGCAAGAGCATGCAAGGGGAACCAATAGAACTCACTATAGGCCTCAGAGGAATGTCAGGTTTAAGAATCAGTATGGTCTGACAGAGTGTACACAGTCCTTTTATATTGAGATGAATACTGAATTATGTTATTTCAATGCTAATTTTACATGTAATGCTAGGTTATGGTTTGATGTATTTAGTTTGAATATTTATTGTGTTTTTGTATATACCTTTTAATTGTAATATATTGTAACGTGTTTTGCTACTCAAGACGCAGTTCAGATTGTTAATTGGTTTATTTAATAACCTACAAGTCATAACTACAAATACTTATAACACTGTTGCAGGTGTAGACAATTTACAAACCCCACACAATATTCTCTTCAGTAGTCTTCACGTTCGCAGGTGTAGACAATTTACAAACCCCACACAATAATCTCTTCAGTAGTCTTCACTTTCGCAGGCGTAGACAATTTACAAACCCTACACAATAATCTCTTCAGTATTCATGTTTGCAGGTGTAGACAATTTACAAACCCCACACAATAATCTCTTCGGTAGTCTTCACGTTCGCAATTCACTCGCGGCAACTGAACTCGGTGACTGCTAGACTTCAACTGTCTTCGGCAGCTGCTACATTTTAACTCTTTCCTTATGCATTCCAGTCTCCCTTATAAACCCTCAGTTGGACAGCGGAAAACCCACATTGCTTCACTGTTGCGTAAACGCTGTGTTTAAAGGCGTTGCTGGGCAACACTGCTGAGAGTTCTTTATTGCTGCGTAGTAACTGCGGTGTCCCCTGTTATGTCACTGTGGGAAGTGCTGTTACATCACCGCGGGGAGGGGTGTTTACCGAGCGTGTAATGATGGAAGGAGTGGGGGTATGTGACGTCACTTGCAAGACCGCAGAGTTCACGTGACCCCTACTTCCTGTTGCGCCATCCACGTCACAATATATTGTGATGTATTTGTGCTATGCAGGACACCCCCCCTCTAGCGGTGACGTAACAGCATCAGAGCAATTGCTGCTGCTATGGTAACAGGTCAGTCAACATTCCGTCCTCCTCCCCCATGCTGACGTAACAGCACTTCCCGCTGTGACGTAACAAGGGGACACTGCTGTAACATGAGGCAACAGGGAACGGTATAAGAAGCCAGCTGAGCAGTATGTGATGAGAGTGTGTGATCAGGAGTGACACAGTGTGGAGCGTGAAGTCACCGAGTGCGGTGGAAGTCAGTTTCAATCTAGCAGTCACCAAGTCAGGTTGTATCGAGTGCATGGCAGTGACTACAGCAGAAGACATAATTGTGATACTGCAGATGGCAGTAGTGGTGTAATTGTGAATTGTATAAGTGTAAGAGCGAATGTGGAATATATTCGCTAGATCCAGAATGGCATAAAGTTACTTGTCGCTTTATATACCCAACATGTGACAATATTAATATTTGGCAGATGTTTTTGTTATGAAAGCAACATAAGTGTTTCACTTGGTATTACTGAGTTTTTGGACTTTTTCTATTGACTGGTATTCTAAAGAATACAGCATTTCAGAAACTGGATCTATTTCTATCCTCAGGTGATAGTATGGAAGGAATTTTCTCTGTTACGTCCATTTGAGAGAGGTAACCTCATTCACAATGTTTCAGTTCCCAGGAATCACTCAGGAGACACTGAAGGCATCTGGCATAGGGAAGGCAATCATGTATCTGTACAAGCATCCTAAGGAGACAAAAGAAAACAAGGAACGGGCTGGCAAACTCATCAATGAGTGGGCTCGCCCTATATTCAACGTGTCCACTGACTTCAAAGGTATTAGAAATGGTTACAACTGCTTATATCCAAATCAGTAATACAGAACATTATAAGGTGATTCAGATGATATGGTGTCCTTTCAGCATGTTTCAGTCATATATGTTATGCAAGAGAAATGGTGATATGTATCGTAGCAAGGATCATCCACCTTCACCTTCTCCCAAATCCTACTCTGAACATTCCTGCTTGTGACTTGACCTCCACCACAGCACAGTAGTGAACTGATTTGTCTAGCAAAAGTGCTCTTTGACTTTTATTAGGAGGTGTTTGCTTCAAATCTTGGCTATACTGACTGAGGCTTTTGTGGTTTTTTCTTGAAACGGTTTCATATTAAACTCCTTCCAGAACATTGCCTTACATGAGCTTCAGGGTCTGTTCATGTCACTCATGTTGGGGATAGTGCCTGCATAAAGAATTGTCACTGATTTTTATATCTACGGAATATGTGCTTGGGGTCCCAAACTTGCATTTCTTTATGTTCGTGGGCAGTATGTGTCACTTATTTGGCCTTCAGAAGGTACTGCAAGCTATGACTGTAATATCTTTAGATATTAGAATAAAAAGTATTAGTAACTTCTTGTAATAGACAGTCTGCACATATCACAATAAATTCTTATGCATTTACAAGAAGGTACATTTTGTGTCAGCTGTCTTGAGTGCCATGTAGATTGTTGTGTGTAACCACTCCACATGTGTGATTTGTAACATATTCTGACACACAGACTAATTGCTAGACAACATCCACAGCATATGCACGGCCAACAATACAGGAGCAGTGTTTTCTATGGTCAGCACAGTGACCATTGCTATGCAACACGTTATACACGTGGCCAGCAATACAGAAGACGGTGTTTTCCATGGGGTCCGACCCAAGGCTATATAACAAGAATCTGTTTGTAACTAGGGAGATTAGAGAATTGGAATTGTGAGTTAAAGAGTTGTAGGAGTACAGAACAGTTGTTGTGGAAGAACGAGAATGTGTACACAGGCGTACCAGGGAGTACAGCGGAGTACGAGAATGAGAATGGAGTGTGTCCTGGTGATTTGTGAAGTAGGTAGATTAGTGATAGTGCTATCATTGATTGTGATTAAGAGTGACTGTTAAATAAATAGGTAAGGTAAAGTTGTCCCTGTGCTTAACTACTTAAGAACTGTGCCATGAAGCCATGTGGGAGAGTGGATGTATAGACCCACATTTTTTTGACTCTGGCATTAGTTGGTGAGTGCTCAGCTTCACACCCCAGCTGCTTTACACCTGGAGAAAGAGCCCCAAGTACCCACTGGATAGGAGGGTGGGTGGGCCGCAGACCTGGTCTGGGCTACATGAAGAAGTGAGTATTCTTGCCCCCACTGGGATTCAAACTCCGTCCCTTCAGTCGTGCAGCCTGTAGCCAGTCGCTCTACTGACTGCACTATCCTGGCTATGATTATACAAAAAGGTGTTAATAAATCCAATCATCTAATCCAGAACCCATTATTTTTAGACACAGAATCTCTGTTGTTGATTTTTATCTCATTCTGAAAGTATGTTTTTTAATATGTTGATTTATGGCTAATCCTTCCACATTAAGTGTATATATTGTTGTGGTTTGTGTGTGTTTGTGTGACCATAGATGGGGTATGGATTGGTGAAGGGATTTATTGAGCACTTGTACACACCACTCAGAACTACAAGTAATTACAGCGTTATCACTATTCTCCACACTTTACAAATCACCACAGCCCCCACTAAGCCTTTTTCCAGTCTGCTGTATCTTCATCAGCTGATCCCTGGTGGCAGCTTCTAACAGTGGAGATTCTTCAGCTTCACACCCTCAGGTTCTATCTTCACAGCCTCCCATGCAGAACTCAACTCACAACTTACTTCCAAGCTGGTGGCCATTTCACATCAACCTCCTAGTCTTCTCTTCACAGGCTGACTTTCAACTAACTCTCTGTCAACTGACAACTAAGTGGGTCGCCCCAATTGTCTTCCTCATAACTACTTTGGACGGACTGAGTAGAAAACACCGTTTCCAACAGTTACTCTATTGTGTTTGTATTCATTGCCATGGGAATGTGTTTACCAGCCCGGTGCCTAGAAACAGGTTGCATAACATCATTTATTCACCAATTTTGTAGCAGTAGCTGTACATGCTACAATATGTAAAATTGCTCTCATGTATCCATATCTCTTGCATTAGGTGGAATATTCAGTATACAGTGGATACTTGCTTAACGAGCACCTCTCATAACGAGTAATTCGCATAACGAGCAAAACAAATTGTAAAAAAATGACTCACTTAATGAGCGACGTTTCGCATAACGAGTGACAAGAGGGGAAGTCCTGGATTGTGCGCTTGCTACATCAGTCTGTGTTTAGCACTCGTTCTGCTAGCATCTTAGTGTCACGTGTGATCACACATTTTTCCAAACTTGTGTTTGGACATATTATTTGTGATTTTTTTTTTGTGCAAAGTTTAACCCTTTCGCGCGGTCATTTAAATTCCGCGGCCGTCTCTCCAGCGGTAATATATTCAGCCGTCCATTTAAATTTTGCTCGAAAATGATTTATTCATCATTGTTCTTAAATTATATGAGATAGGAACATGAAACTTTCACTAAAATGATCTTAAAAGGTGGTTTTATAACCTTACCTTATAATATGAGCGCCCTGTATCTCGGCAATGGAAGCAGGTTGTTTAGTATTTGAGCAGTGAATGGTACACCTTGAAGGATGAAACTTTCACTAAAATGATCTTAAAAGATGGTTTTTATAACCTTACCTTATAATATGAGCGCCCTGTATCTCGGCA